GCATCAATCGGAAAGTTTGCCTCACGCTTCAAGAGGTAATTTTCGGACCCAGTTTTTACTAGGTGTTAATTTATTATTATTAAATTATACGTATATATTTGCAGTATGTTCTTCATGAATGTTGTTGTGTAATTGTTAATGCATGATTCGTGATTTACTACGAGCATGTGACGTGATTTAATTAGCAAATTAGTTATATGCATGTTGTCTTTTAGTTTGCGCTGGAAGCATTAAGGTATGCAATTAATTTCTATTATCGAGTACGTGTTTATATGATTAAATTCATTTTTCATATAAAAATTTTGTTTTCCGCTGCGTACACATGCCCGATTTCCAACACATGCTTCGTAGAGTGCTCGTACGTGACTAAAGCAAAGGCGGAAAATAAACCAATGGGATTGTTGGTTGCGATGCAATTGGAGGTAGAATCAAACGACGACGAGTCATTGAACCTACTTGCAGCCGTTGAGAACAAAATGGTGGAATCCCGGGCTGGTTTGCTTGTACGCGCACTGCCGAGAAACGAGACAAGGGCCGAGGGTAAGTCGAGGTATTCACTTGAGTTTGTGAATAGGCAATGTGACTGTACTTTTGCCATGTGTTGTGGAATATCTGGCTTCGTTTCTGGGTTCGAAATGTGGTATCTTCAGAATTTGTGAGGCATGTTGAATTTTTGTTGGATTGGTTTCTGGTTTTGATGAAATGGAAGCTGTGTATGGGTGATTTCTATGGGTGGGATGTCTCCTTCTTCGACTTGTGGTTGAGTAGAAGAAATTTGCTAGTTGTGTCAAAGGCTAGATGCTTTACTCATTGTTGGATGAGGTCGTTTTTATGTTGGTTGTATTCGGAGTTTCGGGGGCTGGACGAGTTGGTGGGCAATTCGTGGATTCAATTTCGAAACAAGGCTGTGGGAAACGTGCTGTTGATCCAGCACAACTCTAGGAGGGTCACACGCGGTTGGCTGATTTATTCGAGTTATTCGAGGTAAACAGAGGGATGTGGCAAAAGTTGAATTCAAATGACGGTGCTGATGTTTTCGGTTCGACGAGGGAATCGAACACCGCTGGTGGGGGAGGTTTGTTACCCCTTAATCGGTGATATCGACTATGACTTGGGTGTGGCCGAGTCATGGCCGCGAAAGGGTGCTAAGTGAACGTTGGCAAAAGACAACCACACATCGGCTAATGAGTGATCGAGTATTGGGAATGCTTGTTCAAGAATGCAAGGTTGGTTCTCGGCGGTTGGGCATGGGCGTAGATTGACAACCGGCACGAGCAAGGGATGGGCAAGACTTAGGGTTGTCAAGAATGCATCTTGGCATCCCGGCACAAGATTATGAGCAAGGTTGGCACGAACAATCCTAGGTAGATTGATGCGGGCAAAGTAAGACAGTGCGTGGGGGGGAGGCAGGCTAAGTTTGCGGACAAGGCAAGGCAGGCAGACTGCCTAGAAATCGGTCTGGCGGACTCGACCGTTTGGCTCGCGCGCACCCGAGCAAGGCAGCCGCATAACAGCTGATTACTTGCACGGTTTTGAAGGGAAGTTGCGGAGAATTTGAGAGCTGGAAAGCAAGCAAAACTGACCCTTGTAACTTGTAGAAATTAGCCACATGTAAGGCCTGCGTGCCGCCAAGTGTCCCTAGGGAGTTTGGTGTTTAAACTACTATATTCCTTGCATTTATAGGGCTAAGAGTGCACAAATCCAAGCCATCTAGCATAAGAGAGTTCATATTGCAACTGTGGGCATTATGAGTGAGGAGTTTGTCTGTACACCTTCATTTCCTTTGTATTCTTTGTTAGGAAATCAATATAAAGATTTGGTATTGCCCGTAAACGTGTTGTGTGTTTGTTTTCTGCTGCATACTCTTGTTTATGTTTACGTTGGCTTAAAAGAATTTGTATTTGTGCGTTTGTGAGAATAGAATCGAGAGAAGGCTGACTCGTTTTGTGTGGAAACCAGGACGCACAAAAGAAATTTTCTTGAGTAAAGAGACCCCGGTGATAATTGGTATTATGTGTAAATGTAATTTGAAGGGTCTCCCTAATCAATCCAATTCTTAGAGTAAATTGTTTGTTAGATAAGTCTTTGATAAAAAAAAAAACAACAAAAAACAAAAGGAAAAAAGAATTAGTGGATTTTTTTATATATTAAAAATTAATTTTCAAGTAATTAAGTGAAAAATAGTTTATTGGTGGGGAATAAATAATTTATCTTACAAAAATAAATACTATTGCAAAAGTAAAAATATCCTAAATGAATAATACATTACATAAAAAATATTTATCTTCTTGGTGCAAAGTATTATAGTTTTAATTTCTACCTTTCAACTATTTTTCGTACAAAAAAGAATGGTTAATCACACTTTGCACTCTTCAACTGTAGCGTTTTGACACTTTGCAATTTAAAAAAATTAAAAGCATTTTGACCCCTTAAGACGCAATAAATCTTTCATAATGCACCATTGATTGAATAATTATAACTTAATGGGGATAGTTTCAATTCTTATTGATTTTTATTTTCAGGTTGCAAAATAATAAATTAAATTCTTATTTTCTTCTACCTCCAACATAAATTCAAGGGTCCAAAATACAAAAAAGAAAAAAAAATCACAACGAATTACTGAAAAAAACTATAATTTCTTACAAAAAAAATATTTTCTCACTAAATTATTCGATTGATCGATCTTTTATTGTAATTAGTGAAAATATTTAGAAGAAAATATAATTTTCAAATTACTTGATAACAAAATAGTTGAAAGATTTTTGTTCTTCTTGTTTTTTGTAAAATATTTTTTTGTGATCTCTTTATAAAATATTTTGATGATTGTTTTCTTTTCTTTTTTTCTTTTTTTTTGCACTTTGGAGTTTCATATAAATAAATTACTTAACATTTGGCATCCGAAAAAAAATACCACTAAAAATATTAAATTACTTTCATAAGCTTTAAAAATTCATTCAGGATATATCATGAGTGAATTGCATTTACTACCCCTGTGTAAATTGCATCTGCGCGATTCCCCCTATCATAATAAAATTAGTAAAAACCCCCATGTGCTAGTTTTTAGGTTGCATACTTGACCCATTTATCTTTTGCCCATTGATTAGCTGTGAAAAGACAAAATACCGAAGGTTTTTGTAAAAACAAAAGGCCCAGTCCTTCAACGAATAATTTTTAAAACTTGGGACCAAATTGAATTGATGAAATTTTAAAGAGGTTAAATTGCAATTTCCAAAACTCAATTAAAGAAAAAAAAAATTATCTTCTTCAGAGGGCCAGCATCCACCACCACAGCCCAACTCTTCTCCGCCGCCATATTTGCTCAATAGCCCAGCACCCGCCGCCTAACTCATCTTCGCCACCATCTTTGCTACCCATCTCAGCCGCCATACTTACTCAGCAACCCACCACCCATCGCCCAACCCATCTACGCCATCATCTTTGCTCAGAAGCCCACCATACACCATCTTTGTCGCCATTCTTTCTCAACAGGAAGCATATTGATATGCCTAATTGGGTCAACCCAATAGATCTACAATTTCTTTACCTACTGGGCCACGAACCCAATATTGAAGACCACTACTACCGAGGCCCAATCACCTTCAAATAAGGTTTTAGCCCGACAATCTCAACTAATTAAACTTCAGCCCAATCAATGAGGTATAAATAGAGGTTTGAACTCATTCCTTAAGGTACGTCCTATTATCTGAGCAATACTACTAACTGTATTCTCTGGACTATTTCCACTACCCGCACGTCTGACTTGAGCATCAGAGGGGTTTCCGCCAGATCAACTCCGGCTTAGTTTACGTGTTCTATGATCGCAGGTATCTCAAGGTCATCAAGCTCGTGAGCCAGTGATCGACTTTGCTCTTCCAGCTCATCCTACTTCAAATCTCTAAGGTGATCTAATTTCTAGCATCATTACATATCCACCGCCATTGCTATAAAATTGCAGAAACACTAATTTTTTTTAAGGTAGAGAAAATTGAAACCAATGATTTTGTTGCTGATGTGAAACTTTGCCCATTTATGTTTGGAAATCGTCCATTAGTGATCATGGTGAGAAGATTTATTCCAAAGAAAAAAGGACAAGAAGTCGAAGAAGACGAAGAAGAGAGGGAGATGGAGAGATGGTGTAGGCTTTCGGGGGTAATTATGTCATTTCACATGCAAAATGAAGAGAAAAACTGAACAATTCGCGAGTGCGACACACGATATGCTTCGAGGGGGGCTTTCGCCTTTGACTAATTAGTACAGGGGGATTTTTGCTATTTTTTTAATGACAGAGGGGAATCGCGCAGATACGATTTACACAGGGATAGTAAATGCAATTCACTCAATATATCGTGCATAATTTCATGTATTTCAAGGGTGTTAAGTACTATTAAACTTTTCAAGGGTACAAAATGTGAAGAAACTATATTTCAAGAGCGCAAGATGGGATTAAGCCAAAAATATATCTAATCATCAACTTTTATTATCATTCTTAATAAAAGATACACCTACCGAATAATTTCATAATTTTTTCATCAGAATTTCATTGTTGCAATTATATTTTATCATATAAAAGAAAAAAAAATCATTTAGATATACTACTCAAGTATAAAATTGTCTATCTTAATCTTAAAATTCTAATTGGTTTTCAACGTGAATGATTTATTATCTTTCGAGAATGTAAAATACTATCAATATTTTTCAGAATTGCAAAATACCAAAATACTATATTTGAAGGATGCAAAGTGCAATTAAGCATACAATTGCTAAAAACTCAAAACCAAAATAAAAGAGCACCCATAGCCATAGGCCCAACCACGTCAAATTGGGTATACTAACGAATAAGATATTGCCACGTCATGCAAAAAGCTGACCTGTACTCCGACTGACCAAAGAACTGAAAAGTCAACGCCGGCACCCTCGAATTTTACAAAATTACCACCATCGTTAGTCACAGAGCTGTAATTAAGCAAAAGATTTAAGAATATTTTGGGTTGTCCATTTCAGATTTCTTCAATCAGTTGCGAATTTACGACGGTTAAATTTTAGAACCAAATTAAACCCTGGGCTTAAAAAATGCATGCGCAAAAAACGAATTAAATATTTTTTTTTAAATTCTCGATCTGCAAATTTCTGAGCTCCGATCCTTCGTCAATGGCCGCTCCTTTCTTTTCAACGCCTTTTCAACCTTTTGTTTATCAGGTAACTGTTTGCGTTTACACACAGTAAGTGTTTTCACTGTATGTCTGTTCGTGTTTTTGAATTGGGTTTTTTTGATTCCTCGAATTAGGGTTCTATCTCGGTGTGTCTAAAATTTTTTTTAATTCGATTTCTTCCATAGGCGATCCTAATTTTATTATGTATGTTAGGCGCGATGCTGCGAAATGTATGATGAAACGAAAATTAGAGATAAATTTGATTTCCTTTTCGATTTCTCAATAGAGATTTTCATTTCATGATTCACTATACAAATAGAGATAGACACTCTTCACTCTCGTTTGGGCTGTTCAGTGGCATTTTCGAAGTTAGTTTGTTGTTAAAATAAGGGGAAGTCAGTTCTTGTTCTTTGATTAACTATTTTATTCATGCTATGGAAAAAAAAAATTATCTGCGTGATTTTTCACCCCGCCTCGAGATAACTCTGCGTAAATAGATCAGGTCGTAACAGTCACCAAACAAAGCTTGGGCTGTTATTTTACATTGTTATTTTCAAAATGCTATTGTGTGTTTAATCAAGAATAAACCATTTATGATTCTTGTGTAATGAAGATGCCTTTTTTTTTTTTTTTTTTTTTTAATGTTCACTATATAGTTCTCGAATTCCAGTTTAAAGATAGTTTCCATGTTTATATGTTATTTCAGAGCCCACAAGATGCTGTGACACCTTTTCAGATCTTGGGTGGGGAAGCTCAAATAGTTCAGGTACTAGGCCAACATCAGAGATTCTCTTTCTTATTTACAGAGAATTACGATATTGAACCTAATCGACTTTGTCACTGCCTTTTTTCTGCTCTGTAGATAATGTTGAAACCACAAGAAAAGATTATAGCAAAGCCTGGTATGCTTTTCTTAGTAACTTTGTGAAATCGGCATCCTTATGTTTGTTTCAACTGAATAATAGTATGTTTTGGTTGCTTGGTATAATGTGTCTTTGTTCCCATAATTAACAACCTAAATCTCTGATTTGGTTTCACTTCGTGCTTGCCCTTTTGTGACGAGAGTTGGTACAAGACCAACATAACTTTTGCATTTCTCGAGGATTTGGAAAGGTTCCATTACTTAAGAAAATAATTATTTTCCTGTGGAATTTTCATTAACTTTGTGTTGCCAAATTGAACTCATCTTCAAGCGAAATCGAATTTCTGTAGGAACATGTGATATCCTTTTCTCGCCACTTTCAAACAAGAGTATTCGTTCAAAATTTGATGGTATAGAACATTAATATTCGTAGTACATGCTAGGCTGTATGCGAGATAGGGTAAACTGTCTCCAGTTTCTATGAACCTTGACATATAAATATTTGATTATTTTCTGTATGCTGTAATCGTTAACTTGTTTTGATAGAGCTGCCATTTTAGGGAGGACGTCGAAAATGATTCACAAGGTTAAGCTGCATATAGGAAAATAATCAAATATTTATATGTCAAGGACGATTGAGTTCTGTTTTCAATCCACCTCTCTTGTTATCCCTTAATGTTTTTTTCCTTATTTCTATCCTCTTCCGTATGTTTTCAACCAATAGTAGCCTTCTCTTGGTTATATAATTTACTATACTATATTGAAACAAATTTGTGGAAATGTCACAATCTTAATCCTATATCATATTGTTTTCACTCTTTCAATCTTGCCAAATTAATCTAGTACAACGTTTTCATTTGCTAAGTTAGCAAGAAAGATACATGTGAAATTCTGATTTGTTTGTCTAATTAGGTGTGATTTTAAAGTATTCAATTACTGCTTCAAAACACAATATAGCTTTTACTAATTATTCTGCATTTTGAATTGATGCATGTATTTTATCTGGATGGTTTCTGCAGGCTCGATGTGCTACATGTCTGGGTCTGTACAAATGGAAAATGTTTATGTGCCTGAAAATGAAGCGGGTGTACTGCAGTGGCTTCTTGGAAAGAGTGTTACTAGCATAGTTCTTCATAATACTGGTTCAACTGATGGGTTTGTGGGAATCGCTGCACCTACTCTAGCCAGAATTCTCCCGGTATGTTGTTTTCAAAGGATATAGGTTTACTATATGATTTAAATCATTAATTATTAGTTGGCTATTTTTATATACATTACTCGTGCAGATTGATTTGGCACTATTTGGTGGTGATATGCTGTGCCAGGTATCGATCAATGATGTTAAATTTGTCGTTGAAATATCTCTTGCCTTTTCTTATTCCCATATATGGTTGATTGACCTTGGCTGAACTGGAATATGACTTCTGCTAATATTTGTAGCCGGATGCATTTCTTTGCTCAATTAATGATGTCAAAGTCAATAATACACTCGATCAGAGGGCACGCAATGTCATTACCACAGCTGAGGTCAGATCTGGATTTTTCTTCCTTTAAGCTTATTGGCTGTCATTATTGCATATGGTTCCTAAATTAGTCATTCTTGCAGGGATTTTTGAGGCAGAAAATATCTGGTCAAGGGCTTGCATTTATAGTTGGCGGTGGTTCTGGTATGTTCCTCTGAGTTGCGTTGCTGTTATGCAGAACATTTTTAGCCACAATACGCATGCTTTCTTGTTCCACGCAATCAAGATAGTTTAATTTTCCTTCTTGCAATAAAAGAATTCCATGGTTGGTTTCACGGATGACTCTGTGAATTTTGCATGTGGCAATTTTGGGCTTGCTATGATCTTTATGTGATCTCTTTTTTGTTGGAAAGATAAATCAAATTATGTACTCTAGAATTAAATGAGGGGGAAACAGTGGGAGAGAGAATAACTTGGAAATTCTTGATTTCTATGTTAACTACTTAACCACAAAGAATAATGCCGTAGATATTGTATTTTGCGCACATTTAACATGGAAGAGAGTTGCACTTGTTTAAACGCACATATAATTGATGACAACCTAAGTAAACTGCTCTGCTAAATCCAACTTTTGATATGCAAGAACCACAAATCTATAATCTATCTATGAAATTAACCTTTTTCCTTTCTGGAGAGAGTTAAGCTGTTAGTTTTAATGTTAGAAGAATAAGGTACTTGTATACCCCCTTTTGGCCCCAGGCCAAGACTGTTTGCATGCACTCGTTGACACTGTTGAAGAAGACTGATGACATATTAATTATCTGGAATCACTTGAAATTTCTTCATGCTTCTGCTTTTCTGAAATAGTGGTACTCAACCTTTTTTTATGTAGAAATACTTGAAAATTGGAGTACATGCTATATCATTGTTGTTGATTTGTATATAATCTCGACGACAATGGACTTTGTTTGACTTAACATTTATAAGATAAGAAACACATGCTTCCATGACCCCAGTACATGGAGCAGACCTTATTGTTTTGATTTTGTTAATTTCTGAGAGAAGACAGATGTAAATGGTTCTATAAAATGCTCGTGAAGGAAGTTTCACTGTCAAAATTTGTGTAACATAATTTTGTAACCGAAAACAGAAAAAACATTTTTGAGTTATTAGTTTTATACCATAGGTGTTTTAAGATATGTAATATCAGAGATTATACTATCTCATAAAGCAACACTAGATAATAAATAATTTGTATGAAACTCTTCAATCTGTTAATATTTGGAGCCCCTGATTAACATGATCTTTTAATATCGTAATTAGGTATAGAGGTGTATCTTGATATAGGATCAGGGTATTACAATCCGTAAATCATATAATAGGCCCCGTATCATCTTTTGTGTGTATACCAGAATCAGTTCAGAATAGATAGAATTTATCTGATATAAAGGGCTTAATAGTTTTAAAGGTCCACATGACGAATTGCAAACTGCCTTATCACGGAAGAAAGTGCTTTATTTTTAGAATTGTGACTGACATCTCTGTTACTTCTATTCTAACTATGTTCTATTCCTTTTGCTGTCTGTGGTGCTTGTTAGTTGTGCAGAAAAATCTCGAGGTGGGTGAAGTACTAGCGGTTGATGTCGCTAGCATAGTTGCAGTGTCGGCATCAGTAAATGTACAAATCAAGTATAACGGTCCTATGAGAAGGGTGGTTTTTGGGGTGAGTATAATTGTCATCTATCCTTAAGACATACTTGTTGCATATAACTTTTTGTTGCCAAGAAGGTTTGAAATATTCACATTTACATCAAATGTTTTCTCTATTCTCTTTAAGGCCTTGTTTGGTTGCCAAGATAAGATTAAATAATCTGATGATCCAATAAAAAACATACCTAGAAGGCAAGATAAGCCATGATAACATAATTTTGCGGGTCGACCCGGCAAGTTTTTAAGGATACCAAACATCAAACAAAGTCCAATTATTTAGTTAATCGTGGCTAATCTCCCCAACCAAACAGGGCCTTAGTATCTGATAAAGTTGGTGAACCGAGTTTGCAAAGGTCATGATCAGTTCCAAATTTGTTTCTGACAATTTCGACTGATCAGTAAAACATAATTTGAATGCTATATTTCCTTTTTATTATAAAAAAAATGTTTTTTTTTTCTGAAATTGTTCAACCTATCTTGAAAAGTTAAACGGGATTGAATTGTTCATGTCGATACATATGAATGTGCTTTAGTTACTATAGGACAAGATTAGTTTAAAAGGCATAGCCTGATCATAATCTTGGATTTTAAGAGAGTCGGTGACATGGTCCATAGTTTCTCAATTACTTTTGATTTAGATGTCTGGGTTCACATATATTTATTTCAGAAAATAAATTCCGTTTTTGGATTTTGAGTGTCATGTTTATAGATACTTATTTAGCTTTAATAATTTAGGGTTCCAGGCCAGAAACTGGTAAAACTAAAAGAGACACTGTAATAAATCTGAAATGAGACAAAAATGCCGAGTGTGAAACAAGAAATCATATCATGCCGAATCTATACAGTGTGGTGTTTAATGAGCTTTTGTTATGCTTGGTCGTCACCTTATCCTGCTTGAATTCAAGAGACTTGTGAATCAGTTCATTTATTATTATCTCTGAACACCTTACTTTTCCATACAAATAGATTGATAAGAGTACATTTCCGTACAAGCAGTCGATAATGTTAGGCATGTGACATAAAAAATGTGATAAGGGAACTGATGGAATGCTAACAGTTGTCGTGATTTTGTTGAAAAAAGAGATTAATATTTTAGGATTATTGGGTTTTAAGTTTCTTGATTGTGTATACTAAAATCCCGGACTCTCGAGCTTCGGGCAACATGAAATTCTCTAACATTCAGTACCTTCGTTCTGCTGTTATCTAATTGGCTTTAAATTGATTGTTTACTTGACGTGAAATATTTTTGTATTTATTGGATTCTAATAATTGTGGTCATGCTTTCGTTGCAGGGTGACAATATGGTCACTGCAGTTGTAACTGGTCCTGGCATTGTCTTCATCCAGAGCATGCCCTTTCAACGGCTTTCTCAGCGTATTGCTCGGTAAATCTACTTTTTTTTTTTTCTTTTTCTGTTTCTTTTTCTTCTCAGCGTATTGCTCGATATTGTTTTTGAGGGGTTTATTTGTATTTGTTTGTTCATAATGTTTTGACAGGGCCGTAACATCTCCGAACATGAGGGACAATCCCAAGTTCTTCTTCCAGATAGCCATCTTTTTCTTTCTAGCATATGTTGTCGTTGTATCCTCTCTAATCTTGACCGACATATGATTTTCACTTCACGGATTTCTCTCTTTAGGTTATGTGTTATTTATTATAAATTAAAGATCTATGGAATAGAGATTTATAGGGTGGTTTTTTTGGCTTTTCTTTTTGTTTTTTGGGCGGAGGTTTGGATGGAGTTGTGTATGAATGATGATGGAAAATGTAAAGAGCATTACATGTAATTTAACTATATTTAGTGTTGTCCCCCAAAGCCTAGATTTATAAAACTTGTCACTAATGCTAAAAGTATATGTTTGGCATTACATTACCTATGACAGAAATTGCAATTTTCAAAATGAAACCACACATGGTGACAAGTCTATTGAGATTGGAGATCTGATAAATGTATTGCTCTTTCTCCTACTTTCTGCAACGGTCTAAAACCTTTAATGGCAAGTAAGCAAACAAGGACGAAAATTGGATATATATATTACGACAAAATGGAAGTACAAGATAAATGAAGCAATCTGGGAAGCTCAAAGACAAAATAAACTTCCGAGAATTCTAGCTCCAAACACTGTTTGGAAACTCTCCTCCTCTCTTGCATGGATTTGGTAAGTTCAGATTTGCACATAACAAATGCTCCCGTCTGAAATTGTCCTTGTTCTCGACGACAAAAGGCTGGAAAATGCTTATCTTCATAATCGACCCACGAGCAGTCTTTATCTGCCATGTTGAACCATTTAATCAACACTTGAGTAACAACCTCCTTTGTATCAACAACCTGCGAGCAAGGATAGATTGAGGTTCAAGAATAATGTGCGTGTGTGCTATGATATACAGTAGAACCTCGATATAATTAATTTTGCCGGTCCCGACTCGGGGACAACGTACTAAATTAATAATTCGCTAAATTTATAAGATAATACGCATTCGAATATTTTAGGAAGCCCCATATAGTATATAAATTAATAATGCATAAAAATAATTCTTAAATTACATGGTACAGTATATATTTATAAACCTATGATTAATAAAATATAATTTAGTTGTCGCTTGTTTCTTGATGAAATTCACATTACCATCAATCTCGTCTCTCACTTTTCTTAATATGGTTAGAACTTTTTCTATAATTTTCTCATAACTTAAAAGAAAATTGTTCAATACCATTGTTGTTTTAAGAGTTTATGTTTGTGAAAAGGGCTCTATAGTGCATTGAACTAATGATACAATGAATAATATAGACGTCAAAAAATTAAAAAAAAAATGTATTTACATAAAATAATAGTAAAAATAATAGTAAAAATAATTCCATAAATTAATAAATTATTAATTCATGTATGAATTAATAATTATTAATTTATTGATAATTTAATATTTCGCTAAATTAATAGAATTTTGATGGTCCCAACTGTATTAATTTATTGATGTTTAACTGTATATAGGTAAGTGCTTTTGATTGATTTGGGGCCCTATCTTTTTTTTTTTTTTTTTGTAACTAAGAGACATGAAAAATAGGATGAATCCTAGAATTCTCTATTAATTCTAGTGTGTAAGCTACTTCTCCAACCTTCTGGAGAATTTTATAAGGCCCAAAAAACCTTGCGGAGAATTTATGATAGGCGTGAGATCTCAAGGATTGCTGCCTATATGGATGCTGCTGAATAAAGACACAATCTCCCACCTTAAATATCCTCTCATCCTCTTTTTTTCTGTATGTACCTTCATTCTATTTTGAGCCTTCTCAAACTGTTGCTTAATTAAAATTCTTATCTACCAAGTTATTAGAAAATTCCAAAGGCAACTATGACAAATAGAGCGGATGTTTAATTTATGACTATAATGATTTCATAAGGAGAAGTCATTGGAGAGGAATGATAAGTGGTGTTATAATACTATCCATCCAATAGTAACCATTGGACTCGTTCCATGGGCCTTTCCCTAATCATGCATCTCAAGTAGCATTTCAAGCATTTGTTGACCATCAGCCTGATGATGGTAAGCGGTGAAAGGGTGGATCTGAGTTCCTTAGAGTTTGAAAAACTACGGCTCTATCACTCACTATCACATTTTACATGTCATGTAAAATATACACATTATCCAAGAAAGTTTGAGCTATCAAACTAGTTGCATAAGGATGTTTCAATGCTAAAAAAATGGGCACCTCTGCTTAGGGGCGGAGCCAGGATTAGAATGTAGGGGGGCTAACTAAAATGTCGGGGTTCGGGGCAGCGCCCCGAAAAAAATTTTAGGTTTACAAGACATTAAAAAAATAGGTTTATACTGCGAATTTTTAATAAAAATTATATATATATATATA